ACTGGCATGTCCAAACTCTTAAAATCCCTTCCTGGACCCAAGTTCCATGTTTAGGCTCATATCAAGTTGCCTTTTAAACATTTTCCCTGTTCCCTGTTTTCAAATAAGAAGTTTTAGCCAGGAATCAGTATTGTTCACTTGGAATCTGAGTCACCTCATAGCTCTGACAGCTTCTTGCTCTGTGGTTTTTAGCCTTGTGTTTTCATTTTCCTGTTGACATTCATCAGCTGTAAAACTGGCAGTCAGATCTGCCCTCCATAGGCTCTTTATGTGAAAAACTCCACAGTGTCCCTTCTCACTTATTTTAAAGAGGGCATTAATAAAGAGATATTTCCTTAAGAGCAAAGAAAAAAAATCCTAAACAAGGTTTAGAATTTGACCCACAAAACAACAATGTAGAGATGTAGACTGAATAAAATATTGTCATTTCGCAGTCCCATCTCTCCCATGGCTCTAACGGAGCAGGCGGACACATCCTTGAGCAGCCAGGCTGTCGTGACAGTGGTTTGGAATCTCTGTGAGCTGTTCTGCTTTGTTCTGGGTCTCGCTGAGGCCTCATGTTTGTTGGCAGCCTATTGATGACTTTATGTCCCTTTTCCTTCCCTCTCCTCTTAAGACTGGACCGCCACAACTGACATTGGGGATACTACGAACAAAAGCAATTCTTCCACAGATGTTGCTGACAAAACTGGGCGAGAGCATCTCTCGGTGAGTGGGGTGAACAGGTGCTTCCTACATTGATTCTGAGCATTTTGTATGCACATATATTACAGAACTTGTCCCTGATTCCTAAGATACATTTATTGTTTAGAAAAGGCCACCAAAGCCTGGAGAGACTACTAGAAAGGTTTAATAACAGTGGTAAAGAGGCTGTGCAGTCTCTGACTTGTTTGCTTTTCCTTTAGTATATCATTTAAAAAAAAGATTTATGTCTTTTATTTATGTTTGTGTCTTTGTGAGTGTATGACCCTGAAGGCCAGAAGAGAACACCAGATTCCCCGGTGTTGGGCCACTTGATGTGGGAACTGGGAACAGAACTTGGGTCCTCTGGAAGAGGAGCAAAAGTTCTTAACTGCTGAGCTATCTCTGCAGTCCCATAGTACACTACTTTTAATTGTTAGTTATTTCTGTTTCAAATATCTGTCCTTTACAACAGGACTACTAGCAAATCAGAAACCCAGCATTCTTATCCAGGGTCCATGCTGTCATACGTCTCCTTAGAGTTTTTGGTAAATGCTTGGAGGCCTACCATACATAGAAGTCCTGTTGTGTCTGGAGAATGCTCTATGTAGGAAAGCTCAGGCCCCTTCCCCAGACAGGAACTCTAGATGTTGTGGCATTCTACGTGGTCTGTGCAGGAAAGCAGGCTTAGACAGAGTAATGAGGGGAAGGACATTGGGCTGTGGATAAGAGCTTGCACATTGGGAAATATGATTCACGTGCTTAATTAGAAGGCTCAGGTTGGTGACACAGGTCTTGAAAAAGTCCCAGACATTTATCCTTATTTTGCAGTCAACTGCCGTTGAAGGACAAGTGGCAGTTCCCTGTAGTTCCTGAGGTTTGGTCTGGTAGCTGGTCTGGTCAAAACCAGCAGCTTCTTTAGTTTTCCTCTCACATGCTCATAGCATGTCCTGTGAGCTCTGACTCCTTATAGATTCTGCATCCATCTAGCTCCCTTCTCTGCTGCTGCAGTTGCAGGCTGAACCAGGCTCCAGCAAAACAGAACCTGTGCGTGAAAGCCTGCTCACCAATTAGTTCTTATTTTTCCTTGTGGTTTGCAGGCTAAGATATATCTTAGATTTTTTTAACTGGACTTTGAAAAATATCCAAATTAGAATGATGTTTCATGGCATGGATGTTTTATAAAATGAAAAAATTGTATTTCTATTTTATGTGTATGAGTGTTTTGCCTGCATATGTGCATGTCCACCACATTACATGCAGTGCCTGAGGCGGCCAAAAGAGGGCATCGGATCCTGTGGAACTGGAGCGACAGATGGTTGTGAGCTGTCATGTGGTTGCTGGGAACTAAACCCAGGTCTTGTGTGAGAGCAGCAAGTTCTCTAAATCATTGAGTCATCTCTCCAGTCCTGAAATTAAAATTTTAATGTTGATAAAGCTTTTTTTGCAATGCAATCATGCCCACTCATCTATGATCTGTGGCTACTTTTTGCTACAATGGTGGGCAGACTCATTGCTGTAGAGACCGAATTGCCAGCAAAGATGAACATATTTGCTCTGTGGCCTTTACAGAAAGTGTACACAGGTGATGCTTCCTGGAGGACGCCACAACCTTTGAGCCACCCTCTCTCCCGTGCTTGTCAGCTTCTTTCTCCAGCAGCCTGATGCACAGATCAGATCACTGTTTTAAAGTGTTATTTTGTTTTAACTAGACAAATAACAATCGTGCATATTTATGGAGTACAAAGTGCTATTTTTATGGGCGCACACTCTACGAAACAGTCAGCTCAGAGCAAATCACGTTTTACTCTGATAGTTACTAACTTTTGATGGCGAGAAAACTTAAGATTAATCTTTTAGCCATTTTGAAAATATAGTCCATTATTGCTAGCCACAACCACTCTGCAGGATAGCAGCACCACAGTACTCATTTCCCCACACCCAGCTACAACTTTACACCTGCTCAGGAATCCCTTCCCTTTCCCATCCCCTCTGCTACCCCAATTTTGGTCCAAATCTCTCTACTCTCCACTTCTGCGAGGCCATCAACATTTAAATGCCCTTTAGGCTCATCTAGGTTGCCTTACATGATAGAATTTCTCCCCTACCCTTCGAGTGACTCTTAAAAGTGTCATTATTAGTCCTCTCAGTGCTAAATGAAATGTTTATTATAAAAGCCAAATCCTCACAGTGGTTTGCAAATTCTGAGTGGCCTTTGTATCTCTGTGACTTCACCTCTCAGCCTACCTGCTAACCACCTGTCCTTGAATGTTCCAGGCTCACTCCTTCCAGGTGTTGTGGATACACGCTCCCAAGGTCATCAGCTAGGTGATAGCACTGTGTTTTTAAAAATGGGCAGTTGGGACTGGAGAGGGCTCAGTTAAGAGCACTTCCTTCGCTTCCAGAGGATTCAGCTTCCCAGCACTCACATCGGGCAATTCACAACTGCCTGTATCTTCAGTTCCAGGCGCTCTGACACACTCTTCTGACACCCACACACATGTGCCATACACACACACACACACACACACACACACACACACACACACACGTGTCCACATATGGGAAAATAAATCTTTAAAAACATCACAGTTGTCTCAAAAATAAAATCCAAAGAAACAGGCTAATCAGCCTGGGTGCCGGCAGCCATTGCAGTCTGTGGGTTTTCGTCTGAATTCTTATTACATGGAATTGCCTTATTTGTTTGTTCATTTGTCTAATATCTTTTTCTGTTCTCTACGTCATTTAGTAAGATTCTTTGTATAGTAGTAACAGCTAATCTGTATGCTCACTTTCTGTAGTTTCATTTACCTGAGGTCAGTCATGGTGTGGAAACATAACTTAGAGTAGAAGAAATGAGCAAAATCTGTGATAACATATAATACTGTTCCTTTGTCCCACTTGATTTATGATCCACCACTTCATCAGCATATGCACGCTATAAACTACTTATCCGTTAGGTAGTTAGTAGCTTTCTTACTTATGGGACCTACTATCACAGCAGCACAGCACTTGCATTCAAGTATCCTTATTTAACTTGACAGTCACTGCAAAGCACAAACTTATATTACGTTGTTATAACTGCTATGATTCTATTGCTAGCTAGTGTTTTTAATCTCTTACCATGCCTGATTTATAAATCAAGCTATTCTGTGTGTGTGTGTGTGTGTGTGTGTGTGTGTGTGTGTGTGTAGAAGAACCACAGGGTCCTGGAACCCCAACCAGACTTCAGAACTATCCAAAGTTTCAAGTAATGTCTGGAGGTCTTAGACCATGCCCTTCTCACTGGCAAGATGACTCAGCAGGCAAAAATGGAGCAAGCCTGATGACCTGCATTTGATCTCCGGTTCACACAGTGCAAGGAGGGAACTGACTCCCAGAAGTTGTCCTCTGACCTCCACACATGTGCCGTGGCATGTGCATGCCCACACACACACTCACTACACACACACACACACACACACACACACACAGAGTCATACACACACTCATCACACTCACACACTTATACACACACTCGTCACATACGCACTTATACACACTCATCAAGCACACTCATACACTGACACTCTCATCATATACATCCACTCTCATACACACTCATGCACACATACAGTCACACATACTTATCCCATACTCACACACACCCATACACACACACTCATAATATACACTCATCACATACACGAATAAACAATTTTAAAGGCGCTGCATTGGCAACCTGGTCAGTGTGTTCTCACAGCTATGTCCCTGTTCCCTAAGTGCTCACTGCCTGATGCTTGTGAGCACTCAGTTTGTCTTGCAGACAGACAAGGCTTATGATGAACACTACAGAATGGAATGCAGACTAGGAAAGCTGGAGATTGGGTGGTTAGTTAGGGGTCTGGTACAGCAATAAAAAGATGTGATGTGGAGTTGAACCAAGACCATGACAACAGGACAGTGAGGCTCATGAACAAGTTAAGTGCAGCTGCAGCTCAAATTGTGCGCATGCACATGCACACACACACGCACACACACACGCACACACACACACAAGCTTCTGAGGTGACCACACACAGTACCTTGACATAGCCAGAACAATACCAGAATGGATCAGCTAGGGAGTGGTTGCTGCTTTCTTGCCTTATTAAATTGCTTCAGTTTTTATTCTTGTGCCTGGCTTCATAGTTCTCACTTGGAAAAGTTGTTTGTGTACCTAAGAAATCTAAGCAGTGTGCATTAATCCTGTTGGTGTGCATGTGTACCAAAAATTGTACTGTCAGCTTTGTTTTGTCTTTAGTGGTTTGAATGGTAAATTGAAACCCCTGACTGACATGGTGTTTGTACTATCTGTAGTACTGAAAGGCAGGATCAGTGGGAGAAACACTGTTGAAAGGCCACATTTTGAAACTCTGGCAGAGGATATGGAAACCTGTATGTGAGAGGAAGGGTCATATTTTATAAAATTTAAAGAAAAATTCAAATTATATATGGTTTAGATATTTGGTACATATTTTTTGATCACGAGGAAAATCATTCAATTCGAAGAGTTTCAGATCCAGGGGGCAGATAGGGAAATTGCAGGCGTGGCGAGGGCATTTGGAAGGAGCCTACAACGCTTGCTTCTGAACTCACAGGAGCTCCTCCTGCCCCTTGCTGAAGTTCTGGGTGGGGTAGATGTCAGATGGAAGTCTGACAACCATCTCACCGAACAAGGAAAGAAGGAAGCAAGCAACACTCACCGGGTTTGTCTCTCATGTAAAGATCACCAGCATCCCAACACCACTCAGTATGTGAAACTTTGTGTTCATCGAGTAATGCCTTTTTAAAGAAGTGATTCATTTCACTGCCACAAGACTCTTCATTCATTTAAAAATTTATGTTTGTGTGACTTCAATAGGCTTAAATACTTGTTTTCAAATCATTAAATATTTCCAACGGTAAAACTCCCTTTCTATTTTTCAAGTTGACTTATTCATTCCATAATTGTATAGAGAATGCCAAGTAGGCATTATTAACTAAGGAGGAACTGGAAGCTTGGAGAA